GAAGACTTGCATATGATTCAAAACAGTATTTTAATTGTTATTTTCCTCCTGGCAGAAGTCGCTTTCGATGCAAATTTCTGGCCTAACTTTCCTTGACCGTTGTTAGGCATACTACTCCACCGCTGTGTCTTAATACACTGCTGTCGAAGAAAAAGCTAACTTTTCTCAACCCATTCGATTTTGTCATCGAGAAAATTAGTTTTTCCGACATGCTGCAAGCACTGTTGATGATCGGAAAGAACGTAAGTTACCAAAAACCGCGCTGCCTAGACACTTTTCCTAATTAGAAACGAGGTAAGATCGTTGGCAATATATTAACGAAAAAGATAAGTGCACATTAACCTTGGATAAGTTGTATATTAAATAGAGCGTCATTTATGCAAGGTAATGTTTCAACTAAAAAGTGACATTCTTCACTAACAAAAAATTACTTTCTCGTATACTACTACGTTGTGTAGAGAAAGTCAATATGTAACATTACACAACATTAGGAGAGTAACTGGGCGTAAACCAGGAGAGTTTGGTTCGTTTCCCGGATGGTGCAATTCTTTAAACAAAATGAATTATTAATAAACATTTGTTTCACAGTAACAATGTCATATCATGTGAATCATTCAGTGTGTGATATACATTTCCGATGTAACTGCCTCTCCAATACGTTGAGAGGGTAGTGACAATAGAATAAAAATGAAAATGTACCCACAAATACATTTTAAATTGACTGTAATTTAACTTAATGAAATTCCGTATTATTTTGCTTATATTGGTTATTTAAATATTAACTAAATATTCTGTCTTTTAGTATACATTTTTTTAAAAAATGCACGAAGAAATTTATAACATTCAATAACTATCATGAATATTTCTAAAATTCCTCACTTGAGAATGTCAAATACTATAACTACTCCTCATAATATAAAAAGTCTGAGTAGTAGTAAAATACTTTGCTGGACAATTTAATAAATTATTCATCCAAAAGAACTTGGTCATTATGAATATCAAAAAAAAGGCCAAACATATTTTTAGAAACCCTTTATGAGTAACATTTCGTTCAAAATGTTTAATTCTACAGATCGCATTAAGCAATCCTACAAATGCGTTTAGCAGGGCGAGGAAAGCACAAGCTATATTTGGAGCGAGCAGGAAAACGTGCGAAAGGTAAGGGTGGCACGCCGTCGATGTTTCCTGCCAATTCAAAGGACCAGGCAAAGAAAAGGATTAGGGAAGGGCGCCCCACTGTCGGTTGCCCAAGAACCCGCAGCAAATTCTTAAGGCTTTGAATTCTACGAAGCACGTGGTGCAAGATACCAAATTCTCCTTTCACTTCCAAAACCCTTGCAAGAAAAATATCGTTTAACATTAATATTTAAAATGGTAAAATATTCGGTGGATGAAAAGACCTTTTAACTTGAACACTGTGTCGGTGAAAAGTTTACTAAACAAGCTTCGAAGACAAATTTGTAGTAGACAAAAATACTAAATCACATTCTCAATTGACCATCACTTCTACGTAATATTACGCGCCGAAAATACAACAGCACGCGATTAAATGCCACGTGCGACGAAAAATGAAACAAAAAGCGGGGGCGAACAAAACGAAGAAATAAGAGCTGGTCCAAACGAAAAGGGGATGCTGTCAAATTCCGCAACACCTACCGCAAGAGGCAGTAAAACACTCGGAACTCGAGAGACTGGGGCCCTCCCCTCTCCGTCATCCGGCGGGAAAAGGTGGGAGGGGGAGGCACCTGCCGAGGCGGCGACGGACGCGCGTCCGAGGAAACGCATCTACATACAACAGCTTCTCCGCTAACGACGGAGACGACGCCGATGCGTCGAGACGCTATACAGAGCACGTGGTCGGCCGGGGACTGCGCACTTCGATCTATCCACCCTCCAGAACGGGTTGTTTTCGGTTTCCGTCCACAAACCATACAATCGAATACGAAAAAACTACACGAAGCAATCACGTCTCTGGTGCAACATGTGGACGCTGAGAGCTACCCGTTAAAAGCCGCATTTGATTGGGACGATATGTGAATTTATTTTTGTTTTCTTGCCTTTCCAGCAATATTGTATCCAATAAAACAGTTACATATGGAATTAATTGTTTGATATAAACAAATCTTAGATGAAATAGTCATATTTCCGTTTTTTAATTACTAAATATAAACAATTATTTTCGTCAAAATTGGCAAATTATTAACGAAATGTCACTTTTCTTGCATCAACAGTGCACAACGATGCACTAGCTCATTCGAATTGTCACGAAGTCGCGGCGATTATGCAACGGGAGGGGTGACAGGGTGGGGGGCCGGTTCTCACACGCGCCCCGCTCTGCGTGGATTTCACCCGCGGGAGCGGGAACGTCAACGAAGGAATGTGCGCGCACTCGCGCCATGATTTGACGTCTTTGGCGGCAGCGAAGACCGCGCGCGTCACAGCGGCGTCAGGCGTCGGCGCGAGGAGAGGCGAGGAAACGCAAGGGCTGCCCCCTGCGACACGCGCTCCCCGCGTGGACTGGCCGGCCAGCACCGGCCACGACAATGCTCCGAATGACAGTTCCCGTTACACCCCCTCCCCCGACACCCCAATGCACGCTTTCTAAATACCCCTCCACTCTTAAGACTTTCTGCGACATTCAACATCGTATGTTACGATTAACGGAAATCCGATTTTAATTTATAATTCTAATAATATTCTTTGTTCTTATTCGAGTAGTTCTTTGTTTTCAAAAGCGATATAAATGATGCATACATCCCATGAATACTATTAAAAATATGCAAATTCGAAGTAGAACATGTTCTTTGTAATGAACATTTACGTCAACCTGCCATCAGGTAGGCAACTTCCTAGAATCAAGTGTATAGAGTAGGGCAAGGCAGCTTAATGCAAGGAAAACTGAAGTGATCTTTATATTCTGGCACTGAGCTCATGAATTCAGAATTCGTGAAATTCTGGTGCAGAATTTCCGAAACGGACGACACTTTGAGCAAATATCTGTAGTAGAAGAGGAGAAAAGTAGATCACACGGTCACGCATAAATGGAGAGAGGGCGAGAGGAGAATCGTACTAGGAAACAAAAAATTAGGTCAAATCAAGTTTACACAGATGAAGAGCGAGCGGGCGAGAGCGCGCGCGCGTTTTCCGACCACGTGGGGGCGCCGTCGTGTCACAAAGGCATTTCGTTTTCCCACCGCGCGTACACGGACCTTCGGCGTCGAGGCCGGCGCCAGTGCCGCAACCGTTCCCATGCCGGCGAAGCGAAGCACAGGGCGCGCGCACGACACGGCCGCGCGCTCTTCATGCGACGGCGTGGCTCTATCGGAGGCCGACGGCGGCGGCCATGACCCGCCGCGACCTGCCGCCCTGCCCGCCGCCGCACCACACTCCCAATTCGCGCCGACCGCGCGATAATACTGACGTCAACTCTCCCCGACACCACCACCGACGCGCTTCCCCCCTCAGACAGCACGGGGAAATTTCTGACGCTTCCGCCCTTTTAGCTTCCGGCGAGGAGTAGCGCACGCGGTTCCACCTGCCTCCCGGAGCGAAAAGGACGGTGTGCGGAGCGAGGCCAAGCGGCTAAGGACACGCCGCAAACGTCACGTGGGCAGGCGCCGCCGCCGCCAAGGCGCGCGAGACGTTGCGAGAGGCACGCGTCGCCCTCCCGCGCGCCAGAATTCCGTCGCGGCGACGCGTCCGGCAGAGCGCCGAGCGGGCCACGAAAACGCAACTCGCGAACCGCGCAACTCTGAATGAAGTAACGAAGGTATTGGCGTCGGGAGAGCAACCGTAACTCAAGCGATTCTTGATTTCACCCCCGACCGCAAAAAAAGTTTTGCTTTAATATTACAAATCACGTTTGACACAAACGTCACTACAACGCATCAAAAGGCATTTTCTCCATTTCGTGACTAAAATGATGCACATAATTCTATTTGCATCACGATAGAACTCAGCTTCGGAGTCAAATTAACCGTAAGTGTAAATAGCGATTTCCGTAGGCGAAAGTCCAACTACTCCCTTTCCTAACTATCCGTTGAATTCAACTTAAGAAGTTGACCCAACATTTCAGTTCCTCTGACACACCAAAGCAACTTTGCCCCTTTTACAGTTATTTCGCAACTACCATCACTTCACATTAGGCTTGTCTTACGAACAATTGAGAAATATTCATAGGCAACTCTTGCTGTCAGAACTCGTCTAACGGCTTACGCTACTTGCAACGCTTCCCGTAACTTCGATGACGCTTCTGAAAATATCCTAATAAAATTACCGGCTAGTTAGATTGTACAGCATTTTATGTTAGTTATAACTTGGATAAACTATTTGATGCATTCGATTATCAGTAAATGAGAGACAACTAAAATAAATTGGTAAACCGTTACCTACATTATTTATAGAACTTAATAATCCAGATATTCAAGGCTTGCATATAAACAGGTCTTTCCCGAGACCCGTCAATTCGGCATGAGAAGTTTTATGGCGAATGATTCAGCATTCTCCAAAAACAAACAATAAGCGAAACACTAGCGTTAATAATGTAATTCATCTAAAATGGCCTTGCTCGCTTCTGAAATTTAATAATAAAACTTCGAAAATGTACTAGTACCTTAATTCGCGATATTTTTAGAAAGCCATGAAATACGCCAGAAACTCCAATATTACATAATTTCGTAGTAAGAACTTGCATCGTAAGTATCTCCGAGTAATTTAGAATATCATCCACACATTTGTGTTACATTCATCACAATCTTAAGTACGTTTCCAAATCCCGCCATTATGACAGATGGGAGCTGACATTTTCGCTTGCTGTTAGTCGTGTGAACCCCAACCAACGCTCAATGGCTGCGCCATGTACGAAACGACCACGTGCTCATCTCACGAGGCAATTTCACAAACAAGAAACACAAAATGCACATTACAAGCATGCAGCACAATGCAAATAACAATTTGCTTCGCAAATCTAATAAGTATACAAGATATTAAGGCATACTTACGGCGTTTTGGCTTAGTCATGTAGGCCGATTTACTTCACGCGCCAGAAAGTACAAAACAGGATCTATGTGTCACAAATAAAAGTTCCAGCACTTTCTTCACCTTAACATAGAGTTATATTCTGCCGAGACTAAAATTCCTATTCACACTACGATCACCAAATTCAAAAGTCAAATATTACTTATGGTACTCCTGAGCACGAGGCCGCTCAAACGTTTCAAATGTTTTATTTAACAAATTACTCACAATTACGGCAAACCAATAATGTTAACGTTAATTGGTAAAATTTCAGTCACTACAAACAACTACACACTTAAAAACTAGCACTGCTTCTATAACAATTGCGCAAACGAGCAGGAGCAACGGCGACCACAACTGACAGCACTGACAGGTGAGCTCTCAAACCAAACTACTAAATCGCGCAGAGGCGTCGCCACCGCCGCCATCTGTTGAGAGCATAAGGAACTAATCATGGAGTCGTACAAGATTCGTTCTCGTCTTAAAACACTTCGGTCATTATTTCTCAATCCCTTCATACTCGTATATACAATGTTCATTTTCTGGATGAAAGTTCAATAATAAAGCACGCAATATACGTCTCAGCATTGCTTGGAAATCTGGCTCCTTTCATGTAAATCTAATAATCTTTTGTATTAGTAACATAACCTAAAAGAGAACAAGTCTACACTTTTTATTGTAACATTTAACTTTATTTCATATATTCACCACGATATGGAAGTAATCCTACATTATCAAGTCTATTATATTTACACACATTACAATTCTAAATTAAAAACTGTCTTGTGTTGGAGCTTCAGCAAACATCTGATCTTTACTTCTTTCTCCTTGGTTCACCTGGCGATTGCGTTCAATCCTCATTGCATCTACACGAAGCACCTGAAATATCAAAAGATTAAAAATTGATATTATAAATATGACATTTTCTTTCATATATTCCTTAGCTCACCTGTTTCCATTTTGTTTGACATTCACTGAAATCTTCTATAAGATCAGCACACTTTTGTTTTCCTCTATCCATGCCATAAGCCTCCAGACATTGCAGCATCCGCATTTCAAACTCTCCACATTTTTCGAAATGTTGACGACTGACCAAACTTCCAGTTAGATCCGTAATAGGATTTCGAAAAAATGGGATTAGTGACATTTTTTGTTATTCTTCGAACGTTGAAATCTGTAAAGGTCAAGACACAATGAATTCATTTGGAAAAGATATAGCCTATCTAGCATTTGGGTAAGCTACGCTAACATTTCGTTATATTGTAAAATTAGGGGGAAATTTTGTGCCAACGTACTCAACAATACACAGCTCACTTTTCAGTATCACAATAAACAATATTGCGTTCTCCCTATTTGTCGTGTAAAAAGATGTAGAAAAATAAGTATGCAATACTAGCAGGATACTGGATACTATTAAAACTTACTAAACTTGCACCAACACCTTTCGCCAGAAAATCATCAAATATAGCCCTGTAAAATACGAAACCTATACTCTCCCCCAGCTCTATCCGATGTCACATCACACAAAATCCACAGAGATTAGTATACCAACTAAACAGCTGTGTTTCCACGTATGGATATTCTGAGACCAATTGACAGTTGTGTGAAGGAAGCAATTGGAAACATGCCGGGTAAAAATACGCGGGAGAATGTTATAATTTTAACCACGTTGGTTATCTTCAGTTCAACTTTACGAAACTGGAGTGTTAAAATACAAATGTTCTAATTATTAGAACACAAGTATTAGCAAACTCAGCAGAACGGCATCGTTTGATAATGCTCATTTCGTAATATAATAAGGTGATACATATGTATTACGAAATTACGAAATTATGTACTACACTTACGAAAGCGTGGTAAAGAGATATTTGAGAAACGGAGAATAGTTTTCTTTTAATAAAGTTCCATTTATATTTTTCGATGAAATTTCGACACACTTTGTACGTACGTACTCTTTGTCCCAAATATATATTTTAAAAAATTATAATATTTTATGCTTGTGAATTTTTAACTGATCAGTAACCACTACAGTAATGCCATACACAGTTACACCAGTTATAATTCTCTCTGCAGACTCTCTAGGTATACTTCGTTTAGTGATTTAGTGAAATGACGGATTTTTTAAATATACATTGTTAAAATTGCAGCTCTTTTAATTATTGGAGATACACTTCATTTAAAGTCTAATTGCATTTAATATTTCGAATATGACCCACATGAAACCACAACACTATTCTTGTAACGCATTTTATTCCATTTTAAGATATTTTTTATGATGAAGTGTACTTTTATTAAGGGATGCCCAGAGAAAAGAAAATATCACTGGGCAGCAGCACAGTTATACTTTGGCAGTAGATCAACAGTGGCCCCTGTTTCAAACAAGTACCCCCTCTTCTCTCTCAACTGTGAATGTATTTTATTACTATTTATATAGGCCTAGACCCTATGCACATCATTGTTTTCATAATTAAAATTATTTCTCTAAGGACAAATAAATATTTGATATGTTTTTGAATTAAGATAATTTGTTCAATGCCTCAATTAAATCAGTGTGAGACAAGTTGTCCTCTGTCCCTCTCTATGATCTCTACAAAAATTTGTATTCTGACTTCAATGTCAGTTTTGTAACATTATAAATATGCACAAGCTGAAACACAAAGCTGCTCTTACATAACCAAGAGTAGTAGAGTGTTCATCCAAGCATTTTTTGTAATTTTTTGAAGTCAAGACTTAGAAAAATTTGTAAATTGTGAGTACTTTTTGAGCAGGAAAATCTAGGAAAAGATTGGGAGAACAGATATTGGAATTTTATTTTTTAATAATGTAAAATAAAATTTGTTTAACTTTTAGTAAAAGGAATGAAAGATTGCTAGAAGAGATAGGAAGTACACAGTAATGAAGATAATTTGTTGCCAAAGATGAAGGTAACCGATAAGAATGGCCCACACCATGTAAAGTAAAGATTTTAAGCAAATATTATGTTTTTTGGCCACAAGCTAAAATGATCGAAAATCATTTATTTCTACTGTATAATTAGCAGTAACCTATAGGCCTTTTTGCTCACTATTTGAGCAGACAGTCCAATTTTTCCCCCCACAAAATACTGGACATTACTTTGTACTTTTTTTTAATATTTCCCAATATTGTACTGAAATCAAAGAATTATTCCTTAAACACAAAATTGATTGAAGCTGTGCAGTCAAATAAAAAATTCACACAACAAAAACGTAAAATGTGATATAGTATTTTACTTATTTTTATAATACATTTGATGTTTTGATTTTTAAGTAATGTGTTGAAGTACTTTTTTTTATTACGTGTTAAAAAGTTTGTTAAAAAAATGTAAATAAACAAATTCTTCTTAATCACCCTTTCCCGAGCCTATCCACTATATTTCAGAAGCAGACCTTGCAGCCTTACCTATAAGTTAGTAGAGATTAGCGACAAAAATACACTGGAAACAGAGCAATGTGAATAAAAGAAACATCAATATGTGCATTTATAAATTTACAGTTATAAAAAAAAAGTTATATTTTAAGTTATTTAAAGTTAAATTTTCAGTTATAAAATGGTGTCTGTAAGTTTCTTTAAATATTACTAATGTCGCATTTCAATGATTTCTGAGGACAACCTTTAAGTCTGTTGTTCGAGGAACATAAGACAATAAGAATGATATTCGGTTAATGGACGGTTCTGCGCAATTTTATCGATAAAAAACAAAAATATAAATATGTAGAATCCATACGATTCTATTGTACTATAAATCTAGTTTTTGTTATTAGAAACTGCAAGTTGTATTTTTGAAAACAGCGCCAGTTTTGTATGACAACTACGAAGCCAAAGCGCGCGAAAGCGTGACCCCACGAGAATGTTCATGTTTCCTCTTTGCCTGTTAAGCGGGCGTTGCTTAGCAACCATGATCCACGCGCCTTGTATACAAATGTTTACAAACAAATCCGAAACTGGACTGAGTTGTTTTGTTTTATGAAGTGTTGACGGACACTTTGTTGAAAAAGAGTGGCTACGTGGTGTTGAAGTTGTTTCAACAATGTTTCATTGTTGTATTTTGTTGCTGTCCCTTTTCTTTTGTTTTATGCTCGTCAGTAGCAACGAAATTTTTGTTTATTCGGATCCTACATTTTGCAAAGTGAACGAATATTTTAATATATTGCAAATGAAATGCATCACGTGTGATCCAACACTAAATTTAACACCATCCATTGACAGTAATGTATTAAAACTTTTTACCGTATCCTTATAATGATTTGGAACACAGATTGGAAGAGAATTTAATTTATTTTTGTAGCCCAAACTAACTTTTGCTCCTGATAAATTAAAAAAAATATAAAGCAAAATAATGTTGAGGTTGTTAATATTAAAATACTCTGTTAATTAATTTATTTTCAATAAAATATTAAAAATTATGTTTGTTTAAAAATTTAAGGATTTAAACTAAAATATTTTCTTCTTAAGCCATTTTGAACATATTTACAGTTAAGACTTATGTTATTAATTCCAGTTTACATTTTCAGAATTAACATGTATATGTAATGAGCAAAGTAAATTGGTATCTTCTACAAAAGATTTGGAGTTTCCTAATTGTGAACTTTGTCCTGACAATACATATTCATCTAAAGACCAAAGGATGTGCTTGTCATGTTCTAGAAATGATTCTACTGACAAAAACAGTTGTAGGACATGTCCCAAAGGAAAGATATTAGGTTCTGTGTTTTCTAATTTGTGTAGCTTTCTTTAAAAAATGGAAGTTTTGTATTATTTGCTAAGATGAACTTTCTAATTTACAGTTGAGAGAGAGGTAAATGGTGGTCTTCGAAAGAATATATGTGTAGATTGTGTGCAAGGAACTTTCCCTGATGAGCTGCAAAGAAAATGTATTCTGTGTTCTTTGAATAAAGTTTTAACTAATGATGGCAATTGTTCTTGCCCTTCTGCCACTCGTGAGATGCCAGATGGAATTTGTGTTTCATCTGAAATTCTTGCTGATTGGCCTGATGAGAGAAGTTCTTATACTATTGAATATAAATCAGGTGTAAAAGTTATTTCAGCATTTTTTCGAAGACATTTGCTTTCTGCAATATTTAAATGCAAGGTGACTGTTACAAATCTACTTATGCAGATTATTTGTTTTGACATGATTATTAACTAAATAAACCTTGATTTCAGCTAAGAAACTTGGTTGCTTGTCAGATGGTTGCAAACATGTGTACAATGTTGCTGTTTGATGATTATTCTGAAGGAAGTCCCTGTAAACTCTTCCTAGATCCAAAACTAATGCTTACTCATAATAATATTCCTTCATTGTTCTATCGTGAAGGTGAAGCTCTAACTGTTCTAAATAGGAAAAAAATACCCACCAAATATAGTCTCTCTAGTACTTCTTCTGTGAGTATAATGATTAAAAATTAATATATTTATCGGTATGTTATATTTCAGAAAAACAAAACTTTAATAATAAAATAATTAACTTTCCTATTTTTAAAATACAAAGTCTATTACATTACTGTATATTTTAAATTAGTCTAATAATAATAATAATTTAAACTAACTAGTGTGTGTTATTTGTTTATAATAAAAAGTTTCTGGTTAATATTTTGCCTCTCACCTCACATTAAGAATACAGGTACATTCCAGCTTTTGCAATTCCAAAAGTTGTTACTCCATTACTGAAAGATTCATGTTAGAATTTTAGTAATTGTGAAATTTGGTTTCCCTTTTAAAATAATGGAAATTAAATCTTTTCTTTAAAACTATTTCTGAAAGTGAAGTAATTTTTTAAAAATGAGAATTGAATTTAAGTTGCATTAATCTTAGAAGTGTAAAACCCTCCAGGAAGCTTAAGAAGACTTTTAGCTTCAATGGGTTTTGGTTGTATGGAGGAGGAAAAAGGAGGGTGGAGAAACAGGTTACTTCAAATAGATGCCGAGCTATAATGATCAAGAAATTAATAAATCTAATATAGTTAGTAGAATCTCAAATCAGATATAATATATTCTAAAATGTCATAAAATTACTTTTCAGTCAACAAAACTGTTTCATCAAGCACAATTAATTAGTTATGAAGTACTGCAATGTTTTAAATCAGGTTGTATGTAATGATAGAAAAACAGTATAAATTTTACCTCAAATTTTGTTACTGTTTTTGTATTTAAAATTTATTTATTAAAATAAAATTTATTTATCCAGGTCAGTAGATTAAATCTCACAGTGAGCCGCTTTTCTCCAAGTGGCCAATTCAAAGGTTTTGCTGTGGCTACAGGCAGCTTCTTACAGCTGTGTCCTGAATCTTGGGAAGTACTTGATGCAGGCCTTCGATTTGGATCTCGTTATCATCGTAAATGTACAATCCCAATACAACAATTATTAAATCATCAGACAGAATTCTTTGATCTTTCACTTCAGTATGAAGAAGGAGGAGAGTCAAAATTTCATTCTATTCCAATTTTGACTCAGAATATGAAGACAAAATCAATATCCTACAATAACGAAGTAAAGATTTTGGATGATTTTAATATGAGAGCATATCTTTTGTGCAATGGGAAAGTTGCAAATTTTATTTGAATTTTTCAGGCTTCTGATCCCAGTCAGTGGCTCTTGACAAAGCGATTTTTCCTGGTTGATAAAGTCAGTGGAGTTCAAACTGTGTGGGTTGATGGAAATGATCAAGAAGCATTGCCATCTGTTGTAAGATATTTAAAATTCTGTGAAGTGAGGTGAGTTTCTTTGGTTAAAGTGTAAATACTAGAATTTTTGTAGTCATGTGGTTTGACAGTGAATTTTTATTATTTTTGTTTGATATATGCATTTTTTTAAAGTTGGGTTTTGTGAAATAAAATATTATTACATAATTCAAGCATTTGAAATAGGAATGAATATTTTAAGAAAGGAATTTAGCAAATTACACATTTTATTTATACTTGTTTAAAGCAATCAACAATTGTTTATTTGAACATTTAGTAAAGTTCCCAAATTTTCTCAAGAGATAAATGCTGTTTAGATTATTTAAAAACAAATTCATTTTTATATTTTATTTACATGGGACACAGAAATGCAGTTGATTTTAACATTTTAAAAAGGTTAACATTTCAGGAAATAATAAATGTATCCCATAATTTTGTTACAAAAATATAAAACCAAAAATGTGATTGTGTTAATTGTGAAATTGTTAGTTGAGTTTTATATTCATTTCAACATTCTGAACAGTGAAGAAATGTCACCATAAGTGAGTAAAGATGTGAGTAGGATTGAATTTGGGTAGATTTAAGTTTGCACTGTGATATATGGATGCTGAGAATCATCTCTGTAGAGTTTAAGAGTGCCTGCTGAAAAAGTATTACTAATTTGTCCCTGCTAGAGACCAAATTATCCATTATTGATGTGTCATTTAAAATTTGTAGACTTTAAAATATTCAAATAAAGGAAATTGTAAACAACATTTCTCAATGCAATCTTCGTGTTACATAATCAAAGATTTCATTTCAATTATCATCAGTTGCAGACTTTTGTGGCGCTGATTTTGTCATGGAACCTCTGATTGTTCAGTTGTTTTTACATTTTTTTAACCTCTTACCTGAAGGCAATTGCCAATTTGCATCCTGGAAGATTTGTGTAAATCAGTGAAAAATTGTAATTATGTCTTTTAACATTTGCATGAACATAAGGAAAATTTTTCAACTTTCAGGCCTGATCAGCAGTTTCAGTATTAGTCAAATGAGATTGTCATTAATTTTGTTTATGTTTGATGTTCCAAAAAGCAGCCATTTCCTCACAATTATTTTCTTTATCTATATATATCATATATAGTATATAGATATATACTATATACTTCTTATAAGTCAACTTTGATGTTTTTAATTTTTTTGTGGATATTCTTTCAGTTATACATAAATCATTATAGCTTTTGTGAATTAATGACTTTGATGGTAAATTGAGAATATCACTTGTGCATTGGAATTTGGAGTTAGCTTAATTAGTTTAATTAGGTAGATCAATATTCTACAATCATATGTTAATTCATTACTCGTGACTGTTTGCTTTATAATAAAAATTTTATATTTGAAATGTTGAAATTAAACTCTTAACTTCAATGTGAAATGAAAGTGATGTTACAGTGCTGTTTTTCCTGACGATATGTGTAGGACAACAATCATTCCAGGACTACCTACTTTGTAAATTGATACACGAATTTTATTAAATAAGAAAGCCATCTTAAGCTTTAACAGATGGGTGTATCATATTAAGAAAATCTTTGTTGTTAAATTTATTTCAATAAACATTGTGTATTAATTTCAGATTAAAATTTTTCAAAATAACTTATATTTTACAGGAAAATCTCTCTTGTATTTCAGAGTCAGACTTCGAAGCGCTGAGGATGAAGGTCTGATTTATTCCCCTTTGTTAGTGGTTCACTATGGAGAAGTGACACAAACAGAAATTGAAGCAAATTCTCATGTAGACATTTCCTTCTCTACCTCATACGATATGCCAAATAATTTTGATTATGCTTTGGAGGTACATTTCATGAGATGATTCCTCAGAAATAAAACAGTTGAATCATTAGATGAAAATATATTTAGACATTTTTTCATTTCAGGTTTCAATGGGTGTTTTGTGTTCTTTGTCTGTGGTCTGGTCAGGTATTGAAACATGGAGTTATTCAAGGAGGTCTGGTCGAGTGGGTATAGATTTGTTTACCATTGCAGAACTAGCCCTGTTCTCCTGTGGAAATCTTGCAAACGTGTTCTTCTTAGTAGTTGCATGTGCAAGCCTACACACTTTCTTTTTTTATAAGGGAGAGAGTGTTATTCATTTGCTACTTCTCAGCAGCAGTAATGAGAATCTAATAAAAACTTATGTGATTGTAGCCTTTGCATTGAAGGTGAGTTTGATTTTTATATTTCAAGTAGAGATAACATAGGAGTGCACAGCCTAAAACAAGAATGGAGCAAATTACATTCCTGGCCCCTCTTTTCCATTAAACATTTTTAATTATGACAAGTTACTAGTAAAGAGTAATTTACTAGTACTGGTATTAGTAAATAAATAAAATATACTAAAAGTGCAATCAAATTATAACTTTAATGATACAATTAATAAATAAATTGATGTTATGTTAAACCGTTTACAGGGTTGTCAGTTAGCTGGGAGAATCTCTATCCCAAGTATCATAAAATAATTTGTCAAATTGTAAAGTTAAAAAAATGTGGTTGCCCTGTGCCCTTACGCTCCCTGCATGCAGGCCCATTAAAAATAATCTCTTAATGAGTTATGTTATATAAAAATGTTGGTAATTTGGTCTTTTGTTTTTAGATAATTGAGATTGTTTTTATGATTTGGAAGCAAATATCAATAGATATTTTTTTCATTGATTGGGAAAGACCTCGAGCTCTAAATTCTGGTAATGGTAATGCACAAACACTAATAGATCATAATGATGGTATGGAACATCCTGTCAGCATATGGAGAACATATCTTGTTGCAAATGAGTGGAATGAAATGCAAACAAAGAGAAAAATAAGCTTACTGTTTCAGTTAGTTTTTACAGTGTTCATTCTTAAGGTAGGTATTGCAGTCAAATTACTTGAACCAAAAACTATTAACAATGCAAGTATAAACAATTGAGATGGGTAGATCGTGATGTGAGAGATCACAAGGATCTTCTTTACTCTAAAATACATATACAATACGTACATGGAGGGGTTCAATAAATTATCAACCAACTTAAGCCCTTAAGGATATTGCAAACATAAAGGAATAATAATTAGTTTAAAAATGTATTTATAATTTAGGTTAAATAATTATACATAACTAAACTACTGTTGGTACAATGGTATGTACTTTCTTGCATTATTTGTATTAGTTACATATTAATATATTTATTCAAAATACATTTGTGTTTTTAAGCTCTTAATTTTAAGAAATATCAAAATCTCACATCAAAATAAACTTACTGTAATGTCACTTAGTGTACCAAGCTTTATTCATCCAAAAGGTTGAAATTAAAAAAACAGATTTTGGTTAAAAGGGAATAGGTATTTGAAACAATCTTGTTTTAAAATTGATGCTATTTTGTGGAAAACTACTATGCCAAAACTACCCATATTTTGAAAATACACATTCAAAATTGTAGTTGCAGGAACATTCATGCATGTATGCTCACACACACACTCCTACAATTTTTCAAAATAGGATTTAGGTCATTTTTATAAGTAAACTATTCTCCTTGTGTGATTAATGTTAATTTTGATGTAAACCCTGACTATGGTTTATCCACTAGTGGGACATCGGCCTTTGGTTTACGGCAATGTTATAAAACACTTAGTATTAGTAGGTGAAACTATATTTACTGTGAAACGTATGACGGGTAAATGCTGAAAATAAAGTTTTCAGTTCAAGAACCCAATGTGGATTCTACACAATGTGTTAGAGGAAGTTATTCACTACATTTAGGGACAAGATTTTTTCACACCTTTTCCTTATCAGGGCCCAACAATAAAAGTTTTTCTGACGAAAACTCGCGTTTTTTCCCGCAGCAGTACAATATTTTCTCTGTACTGCGTATACAGTTGGCGAGAAAGTAACTAGTGGTGCTAAAACAGTACTACATACTTTCTCGCTCTGAGTGATAGTTATGTAATCTATTTATCTCCGCATTAACACACCTCAGTCATTATTTTGGTAAAACTCATTAAAAATCGTAGGACATTGGGTGCGAAAACGGAATATTTTCAAGCCAATATCAACACATATTTGACTATCATAACTGCGATTCATACGGCTAAATCATACCTCAACATTTAGACAGTTCATGGAGCCAGAGGTGGGATTCACGGGAGCAAGGGGGGGGGGGGCAATTGCCCCCCCCCTCCTTGTTGGAACAACTAAACTTCTCGTGCATCAATCGAAACCTATGTGTCACGTGTTTCAGACACGTGGGGGGAACTGACAATTTGTTTTCGGATCCAGCGAGAAGGTTTAAAAAAAAAAAAAAAAATTCCTAAAACGTGTTTTTGCGTGTTTTAGCGCTGCTATTTTAGTGAGTATGTCTAGAATTAAACCAACGCCATTTCATTTGCATCCGTATTAACGTATTCAAATATATATTTGAGAAAACCTTCGAACCTTGTAGTACGAGCTGTATTATACTTCAATTGTTTAATATCATCTGGCAATGCGTTGTAATTTAACATACATGTATTGTAAGTGGATTTCTGGTAGTGAGCTGTTCATACTGACACTTGATGAACGTGATTTCTTCAACGTATGTTGTAATTATAAATATCAGTATTGCATTAATATATGTTCCCACCGTTAAGTAAGTCAGATTTGGCAAATATTTCAGATTCGTAAATAAATAGGCAAGGCAATGGTAAGATTCCAAGCTCATTGAAGAGACGCTTGCAAGGATCACGCGGATGGCATTTATTTATTATTCGAATAATTTCCTTTTGCAATCTAAAAGACTACATGATAAGTTTCCCCAGAATATTCTGCCATATCTCAGGCGGGAATGCATATTTGCAAAATGCAGTGAGCTGCATGAAGGCTGACAGTGTTTGAAAGAATTATGAATGTGTAACATAATTAACTTAATTTAGTGTTCAATTTTGTTATATGTACATTCCATTTGAAGTTTGACTGAATTGAGAGACCTATACATTTTGTTCATCATATAATTGAATTTTATTCATTTTTAATGGAGCATGCCATTGTTGATTAAAAATGCAAAAATTGCATTGAAACTGTTTTCCATCGTTAAGTATTAATTTGTTATTAAAAAACCAATTTGAAACTTCTGAAATAGTACTATTTATTGTTTATTTTTTTCAAAGAACATTCGTGTCTTCGGCAAACAGAACCATTCTTCCGTTTTTAATAGACGAGGGCATATCCTTTGGACATAACTTAAAGAGGATAGGTCCTAAGATCGAAACTTGCAGGATCCCATATTCAAATGGCAAAGTATTGGAAAGATAAGCAAATAATGTTCTTTCGTACCAGTACGGTATTTCTAGTCGTTGAGATGGATATTTAAGGTACGAGGTAGGGCGATACCACGAATTCCATAAGAAGGTAATTTTGATAGCAAGATGTTATGATCAATAACGTCAAAAGCTTTCGAAAGGTCTAAACATATTCCAATGGGTGCTTCATTTTGGTCTATTGATGAAGCAACATCTTTAGGAAAAGAAAAAAATGGCAGTTTCTGTAGATTTTGATTTCCTAAACTCATGTTGTAGGTCTGAAAACGCTTCGTTATTCCTGAGAAAAGTTTCCATTCGCGAATAGAGAAGCCTCTCTAATATTTTTGAGAGAACTGACAAAAGACAAATTGGTCGGTAATTTTGAATTTCATTTTTGTTCCCTTCTGTAAAAATGGCTTCATTTTTGCTGTTTTGAAAAGATTTGTAAATATTCCTGTGCATCAAGAAGCATTGAAAATGTGAGTTAACGGGTGTATAATGAGACAGGTACACAAGTTTTCAATAAACTATCCGGAAATTCATCTAAACCAGATGAATATTTTTTCTTTAGTTTACTGACTATTCTCATGATTTCGTCAGAAGAAGTTTCGGAAATAAACACTGTGTCGAAAGTTTTTTTGGGAGGGAATGATGTTGAATTTTGTGGTTTTAGTCCCTTCGTGAGTTCAGCCGCAATTCTAGAAGAAAAGTGTTGGTTGAAATAATTTGTCTATTTATTTATTTACATCAAAACAATTAAACTTTGTATGTGACGATCAATGGGGAGAAGTTAAATTGAAATTATATATATGTCCAGAAGCAAAACAAGGGGCCATCTCAGCATTTGCTCAAGGATCAGGGAAACTAGACAAAAACCTGATTGAGATGGGGGTCATTGACCCAGAAGGAGAAGTGCAATACTTGTTACAGCTTCTTTAGAATTATACAATCCAAATGGTATATAATATACTAAATATCGTTAAAATTAATATTTCTTTCCTTTTGGATGCTTAGTAAAGTCTCTAATTGTATGTGTTGTGCATCAGAAAATATTTTACTTGGGACATAAACTTTTGTATCGAATTTAATCGTTTAATGTCATCTATCACGGTGTTGTAAAAAATGTACATGTATTGTATCTGAATTTTTTGTAGTGAGCTGTTGATACTGTCATCTGATGAATATGATTACTACGTCGAGTGTTGTAGTTATAGGTATCAGCGTTTGCTGAAAATATATTCCCACCTTTAAGTAAGTCATTTTTAACAAAAACCACTGATTCATATATCAAGAGACAAGGTAATGGTAAGATACCTAGATTAATAAGAAGAGGCTGACAAGAACCACGTGGGTGGGATTTGCTTATTATTCGTACAATAATTTTTTGTAATCTAAAAGCGTCGGAGCTATAACATGTACTTCCCTAGAATATTGTACCATATCTCAGGCGGGAATGAACATTCGCGAAATATACACAACCAGCAGTATGGAGGCTGGCTGAATTTGAAAGAATTCTGAAAGCGTAGCATAAAGAACTTAATTTAGTATTCAATTCATTTAAATGGACGTTTCATTTAAGGTGTGACTGAATTGAAAGGCCTAAACATTTTATAGACGGATGTTTTGAAAACACACTTTTTCGGTGTCAAGGGTGTATTTCAGTTGAAATCTCGAAATCGATTTTCTGTAGTTTTACATAAGTTTCCCTGTTCTACGTGTATTACTCTACTACATTATTTTGCAACACATTGTCAGAAGACATTAAACGATTAAATTCGATGCAAAAGTTCATTCCCAAGTTAAATATTTTCTGCTGCACAACTGTTTCTATGCAATTAGAGACTATACGAATATTAGAGAACATCCGAAAGGAAAGTGATATTAATTTTATAAATGACATTTAATGTATTATTTACCAACTGGATTGTTTAATTCTAAAGCACCTGTAACAAGTATTGTACTTCAGCTTCTGGGTCAATGACCCCCAACTCGTTCAGGTTTTCATCCAGTTTCCCTGATCCTTGAGCAAATGCTGAGATGACCTCTTGTCTTGCTTCTGGTCATAAAGGTAATTTATGGCTCTGGTCATAAATGTAATTTTAAATTAACTTCTCCCCACAGCACGTCACACACAAATTTTAACTGTTTTTGACGTAAATAAATTCAAAAATAAATGTAAAAATATGGAGCCAATTAAAAAAAAAGAAATTGCCTCTTTACTTTAAACAAAAATTACCTAAAAACAAGATATTTCAAAAAAATGCACATGTCCTTATTTGAATTAATTCTTAAAACAGATTTCTATAAGAATATAATTTGGTTTACGGAATCGTTCAGTTTACTACATCTGTCACATTTCGTATATCTCTTCCCTAACACTTCAAGATTATTGGAATAGTTTATGAATATAGGCATATCTTATTGCAAAACGCACATTTAGCTTCTATTGAAACGTAGCTAAACTTAAATTTTAATAGAAATAACATTGTTTTCTTTCATTTCATTTAAATGTTTAATTCAAAGTATTAAAAATTGGCAATGAATTGGAATAAATCGTATGATCTTCATACGACTTACTCTAATTCTTATCATCACTTTGTAAAAATTTCTGTGAAGTTCTTAGGATATTGTGCTACATTATTGAGGTTTACTGTATGATAACTCGGTGGGTGTAAAAAACTCATGAGATAATGTTAGTTCGCGAGGTTTGATATTTTAAGAGGTACACGTATCGAATATTTAAAAATTGTTAAAATACCTTCACTAATCCTAAACTTTTATAATAAACTCAAAATAACTATGAGCGTTGCTCTCATACATTTGTCAACATTTTTCCTTAGCGATTTCTCTTTAGGATTATTAAAGTGTTTTAATTCGTTTCTCTTAGGAAATTTAAATGCTGAGTTAGCTATGAGATGCATATTTTCTCCTGCAACAAAAACACTCCTCGAACCCATTTCAGTTATAAAACGATTCCAATTAATAAACTTGGAATAAAGTATCTTTGTTAGTTGTAAACTTTGAGCTCAAATATACTATACCGTATTATTCTGTCAATATTCCCGCCCTGAACCACATCATTCGTATTCACTAGACTCAATCTCTGAAACATGATCGTCAGCGGCAGCCATGTTGATAGATTCGGTTTATTTGATCTCGTAAAACAAAGATTGTTTATCTCAAATTCTTCTAATGGTAATCTATTTCTATTGGTATTTCTCCTACCATATGGGCGAAGAAAAAATGTACATTTTCGTTAACATGTACAAAATGTTAACAAAATGTTATAAAGCTACATGTTTAGAAAACATGTAATTAACGCGATTGTTTACTTCTTGTTTTTATACTGTATATATTTTGTTTTAAAACAGCTACAATTTCACTACATTTTTAATTTTTGGCTTTAAAAGTCTTGATCGAAATCATACTCGCGAATTCTTTTCCAATATGATTTCCCGGAAAAAGTGCGGCCTTTTTTGAGAAAATTTGGTTCCAACGATAATACGCCATTTTTAAATTCCCAGTACTAACAAACTTATGGAATTTTAAAAAAACAATAATTGGAAATGCATTGAAGTTTCTGAGTTAACGAACGTATTACACAATGAAATACATCTGTAATGTAAATTTTAACCACGTGATATATTTTTCAAATAATTACATTCGTGAAATATTTGAAAAATTAAAAGAATACATAAAAATGTAATTTGCGTGATATTATTCAGAACATTTTGCACTATCTGTATAAGAGTTTTTCATGAAAAATTTGGAGCCATTTTTGAGTAAATATATTTTCTAAAATTACCCGAAGTCAATCAAAATTGATCGAAAATTAACACTTTTGGAAAAAAGAAGTACATGAAATTTATTAAAGATCTAAATGTGAACAACAAAATTCATTTGAAGAAAAAATCTCTGTCTTCAATAATGTTAGAGTATTTGTGAAAGAGGGAGAGAGAAAGTGAGACAGAGGGAGAGAGAGACTGACAGAATGTGCGAGAGAGACAATTTGTGTATGTGAGTGTGTGAGAGAGACAGCGAGAGAGAGACTAACAGTATGAGAGAGCGAGAGAGAGAGGGACAGAGAGAGTGTGCATGTGTGTGAGAGACAGCCAGAGAGAGCTAGAGTATGTGTGTGTGTGAGAACGAGAGAGAATGTGTGTGTGGGAGAACGAGAGAATGTGTGTGTGGGAGAACGAGAGAATGTGTGTGTGAGAGAACGAGAGAGAGTGTTTGTATGTTTTGTACCCACAGGAGCGCGTGTTTGTCGTAGTTAGTACAAATAGCTTGCATAATGACTCAATATAAATTAAAAATGCAATAATAAAAATAGTTTGGTTTGATCAATTGTACCTGAAACGCACATCATAACACGATGTATTCCGCCTAATGTGTTCCGTTAACTTCTCAATTTCTTTTGTAGGTAGTGGGTGTCGAGCATTGGGCGGTGGCCGACCCCGATGTTAGTACCTCCGTGCCGACATATATGAATGACAGCCCTCCATGTGCAAGTTTTCGATTCGCAATAGCCGTTTTAGTGTTTGTAATAGTATATATTTTACAGGTAATTTGTCTTCTTTAATTAGCAATATTGGTAAACGTTATGAGGGTTAAAATATTGACATACTTTTATGATTTCAGAGACTGTACGTTGTTATGCTTCACGAACGGTACATACGGAATGGAATTCAACAATTTGTGGACTTGTGTGCGATGGCTAATATAAGCGTTTTTGTTCTATCCTTGGAAAACTTTGGATATTATATTCATGGAAGGTAATTATTGATTTCCTGCGCTTTGGGCGCTACTGACTCGCATCTAGAGGTTTGACCCCAGCATTGTAAGTCTTCCCAACGGTCAGGTAGGGTAAATTCTGCCACCAAGCAATTTAATGTAATGTGGTTTGGTGTAGTATCATCTATCCGTATAAATTGTTTCAAGAAAGAGGGAAGTTGTTCCTAAGAAAATCTTGTTTTCAAAGTTTTTAACAATTGTTCCGATTTCATTCAAAATTACGCAAAAAGCGGGTCATGTCACAGGGGCCTTGTAGAAAGTACCCCACTTGAGTTAAAATATCTGTTCCAAATTCCGAGCTATCGAGTTTGGCCAGGTCGATTTCAAATATTCATTTTGTGGAAAGACCTGTATACGAATTAGGAGTTAGTTGTTCGCAGTCGAACGAAGGGAAGACACATTTTTGCTATAAAGGTCCCTCAAAAAACTTGAATTTTGGTCAAATATCGACGTTGATTTTTTTGAGTAATACATACATTTCTCTGTATTCCTTAAATACCAGTATACGGAAAAAGTAGCACACTATTGGCATAAGTATCAACTCCCTCTTTAATATCAAGTTATTGTGGGATATCGTCTTGGCCAAAGGGCCATCTGGCACCATGTTTTGGAAGCGATAGTGTCTCCCCCCCCCGCATTGCTGAGTCACGACTCGTTCGTCTTTTAATGAAACTCCCTTCTGACCTTACCTACATCTTTGGATGAACCATCACCTAACTGTATTATGGATGTCATATTTTCAACCCTTCCCTCTGTGACTTTCGCTACACCTTATTTTCCATATTCAATCCTACCTAGTTCACGATTGTTTCGCTCGATCAAATCACCCAATTCCAGAAGGCATTGCCATTCAGATGCGAGGACAAGGACGAGGAAGAAAATATGACGTACGCTCCGTGGCCCGTTTGTTAGGGTACTGCTCCGGCATTCGCCTGGTGTTGCTCGGAGAAACCACGAAACCACCTATCATAGCAGATGGCCGCTAGAATTGTCCTGCTGGCAACTGCTGATCGTCCTAGCTGTCTAGTAATGCTTGTTCCTGATGAGAGCGTTTTGGCTTCCGCGACCGAGTAAGTGCCTACTTGGCTGTCCGAGAGGCACCACGCCCTGGGCAGGTGCCTGTGTCTAGGACGCGGCGTCTTCCGGACAGCCAAGTTGTTCCTGATTGATCCTGATGTGGCCAAACGTTAAGGGCCAGGCACCAGGCATTCACAAGTATATCACTTTGTCAGTAATATTGCAGTCGCCTGCACAACATATTGATTTATATTATTATTATTATTATTATTATTATTATTATTATTATTATTATTATTGGCGTATAGGCCATTACTGACCACGCTACACGATTAACGTGTGTAATTCTTCCAGGATCAGCTTTTCAGCTGTATCCTTGGATTACGACAAGGTTGTTACGCCTTGAAGTGTGAATTATAAGATGATAGGTTTATGACAGGTGAAGGGACAATCATGGATTAGGAGGTGATAGGATATTGGTGAAAGGTGATCGTAGACTTTTTTAACCCTCCCAGCATTCGCCATATGACCGAGGGAAACCACGAAAACCCCGGTCAGGATGGCCGGCCCGGGAATCGAACCCGGACCTCCCGATTACGAAGTCATCCACTGAACTCAGCGCGAACTGAGCCACTTCGCTCGGTGATGCATTATTATTATTATTATTATTATTATTATTATTATTATTATTATTATTATTATTATTATTATTCAGGAAAAAATGCATAATTTTTTATGAATGAAATTTTGCTCTCTTTTAATGCTTCGTTTCGAAATTCAAAACAATTTATTCTATAAATTGTGCCATATATGGTTAAGGGTTTCCAATGACATTTCCTACCTGCATATAATTACTTGACTTACATGAGTCTGGAAAGTTTTATCTCACTGACAAAGGAACCACTAGACAAAGAAATCGCTAGAAATCAAGAGAACCCTTCGCGCGTGAACTTGAACCTCGGCCTTGCGAACACCCGTAAGAGTGAGAGAGTAGAGACCTACGGACTCGTACTAACTGGCAATAACTAATAGACACTTTTGCAATTTAGTACGCTACTGATCCTCCAAGTAATGTAGTGTTTCGTCATTTTGACAAGAATATTCACACACACACATCTCCAGTCATTCATCTCTTGCTGTGTCTTCTGCAGTAATCACCTCACAAATTTTTATTTTCTCGCATGCTACCTACGTGGTATAGAGAAAGTTGTGTAAAGCTGTAGCAAAAAAAGGCGTTTTTCGGGAAAGAATTCGCATTGTAGGCCCCTGATACCGAAGATGTGGATACGTCTTATTACAAAAGTAGTAGTACTATGGTTACTTCCTCTTCCTCGACCTCCTTGTAGTCGATATTTTGAAAGGGGTGAATGCTGATCAAGGGCTCTATTGGGGGTCAATAGCCGAATATGAACTGAAAGTATGCTTTGTTGTACAACCTCAAGTTTCTTTAATTTTCTTCAAAAAATAGAGTGAAATACACTTGTTAAGATGGCATAAACCTGATTTTCACGTTTACCCCTGAATTTTTTAAATTTACAAAAGATCTTTCATTATTGTCATGTTCCCTTTTTTTAAAAACAACTAATAGTTTTCGGGTAAATTTAAGGGGAAATATGGGCAATAGGCACATAAATAAAAAAATGTTTTTTCAAAAACGGCTCCAAATTTTTCTTCATACTTTTTGTACGGATAATGATAAACACCCTTTATAAAATGCCATATCGTCATTTTGCTGTATTCATTTGCTTGCACAAAAATTACAAATGCGATTTTTTACATTTCTCGTCAATATTTACATTACCGGTGATTTGTACATATTATTGCATTTTTGAGAACACCTTCTTGAAATGTGTCTTACAAAGCTTCTGGAAAGCTTAAATTTCTTCTGTGAAATAGGACCAAAATTCATTTTCAATTACGCTCAAACTACATTTTCTTAAGACTGCTTCTCACTGGCTCCAAATTTTTCAATGAAAATGCGCATATATAACCAATTTTCACTCTTATGTTTAACTATTTTACATTTCTACGTAATGTCATGGTTCAATTATACTATTAGAGGAAAGAAAAATTAAGAAATTGAAAAAATGTATATTTGTCGCCGAGAGGTGGCAGCTGGGAAGAAATGAGGCAACTAGGAAGCTAGCGTGGAAAATAAGTGCGAAAACGTCTGTGCCACTCTCTGGCACCACATGTTACTCTTGGAATATTCTTTCAGCGTCAAGTCCAGTGCTTCACATCTTCACACATCTTAAACAGAATCGTAGATTGCTAGTAAGTATAAACGAAAGCAAAAAAGTAGAAAGTGTGACTCATTCTATATAATATACACGGCCATCATTGGTCTATGCCTAGGAAAGACGTTCGATAGTGCTTTGATTCTGCAAAATTGTGAAATGGTGAATGCTCCGTTTTTTCAGTTCCTTCACAGAAGGCAGAAAATAATTCAAATATCCTCAATACCTCTCGTCCATCTCGATTTTGTATACACAAGCTATATGTACGAAGTGAATTATGATACATTATTTACTTCGTTCTATGTTTTTGTTTGTGTAATGGTACTACGACGAACCATTATGGAAAGGCAGCCCCACACACTCGGTAATCGACAAGCGAGCTACTGCTCACCCAAATCGAGCAGTTGATGATCTTGGCGAATGTTTTCTTCCTTTGATGCGTCCAAAAGACCGACACGCCGTGGGTAGGACTAGCATGGAATCGCTCGGCAAATGATGTTTTTCATTCACACTACTCGTGACTCGACCAGCGTTCGCTCGCTGCTCGTCGAATACGGCACTCGACGTGTGGACTCGAATTTAGATTTAGTGTTGTCAGTGTTGGAGATGATCCCGTTTTTACTTATCTCAGCAAAAATTCCTTGAGATTCGAAACTTGAGTTAACGTTTACGACTTGCTGATCATGCTGATAATTTTGCATGAAGTTTTCTCTTTCACCCAAAATTATAAAGGGAATGGGAATGGGGGGAAATCCAAAACCCCAAATTTATTTTCAATTAATTGATTTCTGATTTCCGTAAAATTCAAATTTTTTAAAATCGTTTTTGTTACTTCGTCTTCATCTACTTAGTGTGATATTAATAATTGCAGATCAGCCCATGGGTTCGCTGATACTGACATGCAAACAATTTTATTCCAACTTCAAAGAGAAGAAGAAGATCTTTGTGGACATCGTGGACTTTTACCAGGGACCGACCATCAGACTTTTGAAATGATCATTCCCTTGCAGCTAAGGTCTTACTACAGAAAAGTAATGGCTCCCATAAGTTCCACTTCAGTAAGTATCTCTAAAATAATATTTTAAAGCTTTCATCATGCCAAATTAAATATAGTGCAGAAGCGGGCTAGAGTTTGGAATCTCAGCCGACGTAATTCATGTTAATACATCCTCATGGCTCATCGTTGGTACAGAATTCGAGCAATGTCAAAAGGAATTAGGCAGATTTCAGAAATAATCGAGAATAACTTTCCGATTCTAATAATTTCTGTGTATTAAGAAACTGGCTAATAAGTGCAATAAAAATGAAATGATTCTCGAAAGCGATACTGCAAATGTACGGGCATAAAAAAGTCAAACGTATTACTATTCTCCGGGAAAGAGGATGGCCTGGATGAGTAAACATTATCTAAACATTATCAGCTTTGATCTGTATAGCCCAGAAATTTGTATTTTGAGACATTTGTATATTTCTAAAATGTAATTAAAAGTGATGTCTATTGCAATATAGCGTGAATTAACTTGACAGTAATTACTTGTAAGAATGTTTCATTAACAGTAACTTTGGGTTTGAGAGACCTATTGATCCGTTTCATCTAAATATGTTTCTTGAAATGATTTTTTCTTTCTTTGAACACAAAATCTAGCCAATAATTACAATCCAATAGTGGAAGTAATATTAGACACTAATAACAAAATGTAGTAGACAATGCTATGGTAATGAAAGAAAATCAAGGAAAGAAGAAATCACTCTGTAATGTCTATAAATTAACGTAAACCCAACGTAATAATGGATATTCAGACACAATGAGTACATGACATTAGCTTGGCTCTATTATAGACACTTGTTGAATTTATGACAGTACTTTGTTTTATTGTCTTTATACAAATAGCACCGCCCTTCTCTTGTAAAAAGTTTGTGGAGCATTCCCTTCCAAAGTTATTTCACGTAATCGTGGTGCTGATTTGTACAGTTCCACGGGATTATGTGTATTTTTTAACTTTGAACATAAGGATATTAGAAGAGCTAAATTCCTTGAGTGAACGTAATGATGAAGATGCGGATCCAGATTTCTGTTTATACAGTAACAAGACATTGAGAGTGAAGCAGAAGCAACTAGTGATGAAATAGTGGATTTTGATACTATTTGCGGTTCACACTTAAGAAGCCACCGATGAAGCAATTAAAAAAAAAATCTCAAACTGTTTTGAAAACATGTTTACTATTTATAAATGAAGATATGCAAATTATGAATAATATTGAGAAACTCACTAGGAATCCTTAATCACTAAGAATTATTCACAGATTCTACCAATATCAACTTACAAGAGCGTTAATTGTATTATTCTGGATGGCTATGGAAGTGTTTTGCATGCATATACTAGATTGATCATGGAAGAGTTCTTGGAACAAAATGGAACAGTAGTGGAGAACCTTTGCGCTTTTCGACGATGATTTTTGTGTCACGTGCAGAAAGAAAAGCCTTTTATAAACCAGTTCCAATTATCTCTCATACGGATAAAACAATGGAACTAATGTGGCTATTCCACTCGTAACACACTTTGATGGATACATCAATGCTTCGTACTCCCAATAATGCACCAATTGAGACACTTGTATTCCAAAAAAATTATCGCTTTTGCTTACCACCTCCTCCCTGCTGGCCAATCACAATGTGCAGAACATCAATGGTAGGAAGCGTTCTCGTGTGCACTTAGTGTTTCGTCGAGAGCGAACACATTATAATATTAATATTTGGCGCATTCTGAAAGTTTTTGGAGGTAATTTCGCTCGTACAATAGTCTGCCCCTCGGAATTGGAAATGTTCAGGTATATTATTTGTTAGTATGGTGTTAAACCTAATTGACAAAATTATTTTTTACGTCGAATATGGACGTTTACTTAGACCAGCAACTATAAGGATCACACGAAATGGGTAACAAATCTGATGTTATGAAGAGATTGAAGTTATGAAGAGATTGTGACAGCTCATTTAGAACTTAACTCGCAATGTTGTTTTAGATAACTGGTTTACTAGTTGTGGTGTAGTAAAGAATAGCATGTGAACCCAGAATAACAATTAAAGATACCACGAATGAAAATAAAAGTGTTGTGTTGATTTCTAGTGTGCAACATGACAGTAAAATAGATGAAAATACTGAAGATAAAGGAAAACTGGACATTGCCATGTTCTGCAATGACAGGAGTGGACAGTGTCGACTAAATATAATCTTGACAGAAATACTACACGATATTTTATCATATTTTGAACCTAGCGGGAATACCTAATCATGGAATGTACTCAGTAAACGCGTCCAATAAATGTTCAAAGCGAAAATATCTAAAATTGCTGTCAAAGTCTTTGAAGACAAGACAAGAGCACAGAATAAACGTAATTCTGTAGAACTGAGGAAATCAGCAGCACGATTACGTGGATGATGCATATTGTATTAATGTCGTTAAATAAAGCGTTATCAATTCACGTGTACCTATGATTTTCGCACTTACACTTGGATGCTTTTGTGCACAAGCCGAACACTTAGTTTACGAATTGTGAAGTAAGCTCGAGTGTACGTATTTTACTATTTCGTTTGAAGAAACCATACGTTTAACACCAACATCTAGATCAACGTACCCTTCACACTTTGGATAAGAAATGTATGCTTATTATCCACATCCGCTGGGTGATTAAATGGCGTTTACGATAAGAAAACTTCCGGAAAGAATGCCTGTAAAGTGATTCTGCAAAATTTGGTTTGAACGGCTTGAATAATTTTCAGACGCAACTGGAGAATGTCTATCAATTTTAGATGAGGAAAGAGAAGGCAGGGTTGGTGTTTGTGGCGGGGATTTAAATAAAATTACTTTTACTAGGACTCGTGCGAACATTCCAGTCTTTATAAAACATTGTTTTCAAACTGAAAAGAGCTTTATTTTATTTATTTATAAAGCCTCCAAAATTCCTATAAGGGCAAGGCCTGCTTCTTAAGCGGGGTGAAACGTTGGCTTTTACATTTACATAATATGAAATTGCTTTCACAATTTTACACAAAATGAACATTTTCGCAAAATTACAAAATATTATTTAACTGCGAATTACCTACCCGATCTATACAAAATCAGCTATTTAAAAATGTATAAAATAGCTTTATAATCAGTGCCTGATTTCGACAAATGTACGTTCTAAACTGTCATGTTGCGTTCTAAGCTGTAATGTTTTAACGCACTTTTTTAAATTTGTTTTTTCCCGAGTTTTACAGTATACAATACTTTTGTATCCATTTTACGTGAATATATTAATTGATATCTGTGATTAATTAACACAGACTTTTGTTACAACTTAGGAAATAAATGTTTGTATAAACAAATTCAAAACTTCGCCTTATGAAATTTTGCATCTGCTGATATTCGTCCGCCCCCAAAAATTGCGCGCTACAGCCTACTCAACCTGTTTGGTAATTGGCTTTGTTTAAAATGGAACCTTTCTTCAAACAGTCAAATCCTCAGCCGTGCTTTATATCATTAGAAACTGAGTGTGTGGGTAAATAGTCTAATACGCTAGACATCTGTAGGTAAACTAAAAGGCATTGACACATGCGATGTGATTGCATTGAGTAGATGACGCTACTAGAAGAAGGAAAGGACGTCATTTTGATATTTCTGTCTGCTTTTGAGTGCTTCGTTAGAATTGCGATGATTTGGATGTTATTTTGTCAATGAAGAGTAAGAACTGTATGTAATTAAAATCTGCTCACGTTTTTTGAAATAAAAGAAATTAAGGTCGCATCAATATCTAGGTCATTACCGACCACTATTGGATTTAACATTATAGTAAATGTGAAGATGACATAATATGGTGATGATAGGGGTTGAAAGGACGAACACAAATACAACCACGCCCAAGGCGGGACTTGAATCCACGACCCTTCAGTCTGAGATGGCTACGCACTTCTGCCTTAACGATCTCGGTCATCGGATCGACTTCTGCTCACGTTGTTGATTCAAAATTCCGTCGCGAGTTCAGATGTAATTCGTTTTTTGAATGTGAAGAACCCTAAACCAGTCAACTTTAATCGGCAGAGTTGCGTGGTTTGCATTTTGCAATTTGATGATAATTCAATAGTAGGGTGATGTTTGGACAGTTCAATGAAGACTGTGACCTAGTGCACAATTAGGCAGGAAGCAAATATTTATCTCTCGTTAATGACAAAATTGGATCGTGCAGTTGTAGAACTCTCATAGAAAAACCGTAGGTTATCTGATCTTTCTTCGAAATTTCAGCAATGTTAAAATCACATCTTTGTATAATTTTTTCTGAAAATTTGAATTTTTTAAAACTATGTTAGTGTCAACAATTCTTACTGAGCAGCCCAAAACACAGAGTCAGGGAAATGCACTTGATTTTCTGACTCGTTACCACAAAGATGGTGATGATTTTCTATTCCAGATGTGACCTGGATTGGTTATGAATTGAAACGCCAATCAATGGAATGGATTAATACTTCGTCATCTGTAAACACAAAAGCAAAGCAAATCTTGACCGTTCGAAAAATCACATAACAAAGAGCATTACGTGAACATGTGAATTTGGGGTAGTCACGGCTATTGGTTTATTTATCACAAGGAGAAACAATCAACGCAAAAGTACACTGGGTAACGCGTGAGAAATAGCGGCGCGCATTACAGAATAAGCAACAAGAAACATAGTGTATAGGAGGAATATATACAGGAATGCTCACGACTGGTAATGTTCTGATTCAAGACAATGGCTGATCTCACTCGGCAAACAGGACTCGAGGACTCTTACTGGAGCCAGTTTGACCAAACTCCATCCTGCCCTGACCTTGCCCTTAGCGATTCCCATCTCGGTTTGCATCAGAAAACCTTTTTTTGGTGGTCAAAACTTCAACAAGGATGACGTGTTCAAAACACTTGATACGGTACCAAATGGTTGACAACAGAGTTTACTGAAGTGACAACATACTTGTATTATTTGCCAGCTTTATACAATGTAGGCCTATAAGGGCCGGTGACCTCCACAGCATTCGCTAAAATCCAC